CTTGCGGACTTGTTTGTTGTACCGGCGGACTTCGATAACTTCACCGGCAAACGACTGACTAGTCTTGACATTGCCCAGACGCTCTTCCGCAATTTTAGTCAACGATCCCAAGTTCTTTTGAATTTTACGACTGAGGTTCCTGATGGCTCGACCGTAAAAGAGAGCGCCGAGGCCAATTGGAGGAAGCAACACGAGCAAGATCATGGACAGCTTTGCACTAGTATAGGCCATCAGACTGAACCCAGCAGCACCGCTAACAGCAGCTCGTAGACCATCGGACAAGTTCTGTGTGATACTCTTGCCAACAATGATAGTGTCAGAGCTAAGGCGCGATATCAGATCACCAACACGGTTAGCATCAAAGAACTCGGCATCCTGAACGAAGGTTTGACGGAAAAGCTTGGAGCGTAGCCTGGCAACAATTCGCTCGCCAACAATTCGAAGAATGATGATGCGCCCATAGTTTGCACCAGCACCAATAAGTAGGATTCCACCGAGAGCGGTGTAAAACATGGGCATACTCAAGCCGAACAATTCGCTACCTCCTTCGGTTATACCTTTGGTCGCAGAGTCCATAATTTTACCAATGGAGAAGGGAACTGCCATTGTGATCGACGAGGAGATTAGGAGGAAAAAGAAGGCAAAACCGAGGGCCTTGGATTCGGGGCGCGCGATCTTCAAAAGCCGCCAGATTTCTGAAAACCCGGACTTCTTTCCCGCTGCGCCTTCCTTGGCCAGTCTAGCGCTCATGTTGACCTGCGCTGCCTGCGCTGCTCGCTCAGATAGTTCAAACCCCTTGTCCTCCTCCTCCTCTTTCGGTTCTGTAGCTGACCGGGTAGTTGGGTCTATGGAAGTTGCGGGTGGTTTCGCTTGGCGAAGTTGAGAAGTCGAACATAGAAGGCGTGTTTGTGAGACAATGTGAGATGTAGAGGCGGTATATCTGAAGCTGATGTTTTGAAGCAATAGTGGGTTGGTACCATCCCGGAGTGTACCCGAGGCGGTTGAATTGAGACGGTTCAACCCATTGTGGTCTCCGGAAGAGATAGGAGACGATCTTGTTTTGGGAAGTAGATCGCGGGCAAATGAGCTATATGGTCTCAAAGCCTGCCGTGGGCTAACGCCCAAGGCCAGAGAGACCGGTAGCCTGGCACCGCGCATCTCGGAGTTGGATCGGAGTTGGATCAAAACGGAATAGAGTTACAATGATGTCACCGAATAAGACGTCGACCTGCCATATCTAGTCGGAATATGTTCAAGTTGAGTACATCACATGGCACACATTCAGCTCCTTGGAACGTGCGATGGATGAATGGATGTGTCTAGAGCGTCGTCGGACACCCACGGCCACCGGCAATGCGGTTTTCGGGGCTGATTCTGCCTTATTTGACCGCTTGTGATTTTGCCTCTATCTACCGCCCATAGAAGCCCGTCGAGAGCTCTGGATACTTCATCTGCTCGGGCGCTAGAGCTTCATTTATTTTGATTTTCATAAGGTTAAATCACTTCGAAAACATATTAGTCAACTTGTTGCATTATTCACGTCAAGATCAGGAACTTTGTCTCTCACCTATTTCCTCTGCCGCTGATACATCCACCACCCCACCTCATACCTACTCTACACATTCACTGTCAGACAAGATGGTTCTTGACTACAGCAAATGGGACGCCTTGGAGCTGTCAGATGATTCGGATATCGAAGTTCATCCCAATGTCGACAAGCGTTCTTTCATCCGAGCAAAGCAGGCTCAGATTCACCAGCAACGAGAGCAGCGTCGCCATGAAATCAAAACCCTGAAGTACGAGCGTATTATCAATGATGGATTGCTGTCACGCATCGATAAGCTTCTTGAGTCTCTCAAGAAGCATGAGGACTCGTCTGCTTCCCCCGATGAGTTCATTTTCACAACAATTATGGAGTTCGCAAGCAACCCCGCCGAAGACCAGGCCCCCACTCCGCCGGAAGGAGTATACACACACGAACCGGAACAGCCCAAATTTTCCCAGATGATGAGCTCACTGGTGGATCAGGTGAAGAAGGAAATTGGTGATTCTAAGCCCGACAATCTCTTCAAGGCATACATTCAGGGTGTGAATGGACACTTAGAAAAGATTCAAGGACTCCAAAAGGAATTGTTTGCAAAGCTTGCGCAACTTGAGAAGGAGGAAGGCGCTAAGATCACCAGTGATCAGCTACACGAAGGTTTCAACCAATCCCATGTGGCCAAGGCTGATGAAAAGAAGAAGGCGGCTGCCAAACCAAACGAGAGCTCTGTTGAGCTCCTGAACCCTGGTGCGGGAAGCTCCGCCGCCAAGGCTGACGATGAAGGCGACGATGATGATCCTGCCGATATCGAGATTAGTCCGCTTGCAAAGAAGTTCGCTCAGATCAAGCCTGGAGACTACAAGGCCTGTCTTCAGTTCATCTCAGCGAACCCCGAAATTGTCGCCGAGAAAGAGACCGACGGACTACTTGTTGAGGCATTCAACAGTCAGCTCAAGGGTCAAGACGCCTATGCTCGCCAGTGCGTGCACCAAGGTCTGCTTCTGCAATACTGCCGCTCGCTCGGTCGTGACGGCATCCAGCTATTCTTTACTCGGTATGTCAACATCCTAGCTCTTTTTTTTCGGTCAATGGCTAACATATGAACTTCTAGCATCACCACCAAGGATCACCGTGCATCCACCCTATTCCTTAATGATGTCAATGATACTTATGCTCGTATCAAATCCCGCTCCGCTGAACTCAGCAAGGATGGCTCAGCATCCAACGATCCTGCGGGCGTAGAGCAAATCCAGCTGCACGCTGTTGACCCCAACACCAAGATCACTATCAATATTCCCGCCGCTAACAGCGAAGATCCCACTGAGATTGAGGTACGCAAGATCTTCGACGCTTTCCCGGAAGACCTGCAAAAGGCACTGGCGACCGAGTCCTTGGACGAAGTCAACAAGGTTCTCGGCAAGATGTCTGTCGAAGAGGCAGAGGTCGTTGTAGAGCAATTGGGCAATGGCGGCATGCTCAGCTTAGAGGAGGGAATCGTGGACGCCACGACAGCAGAGGGCCAGAAGAAACTGAAGGAGTTGGAAGAAGAGGGAAAGCAGGAAGTTGGTGAGCCCGGTGGTGACATTACCGAGCTTGACTAAGGATGCTTTAAAAGCGACGATGATATGAATTGAGTATGCATTTATTTCTCTTGATCCGAGAACTGGTTGCCAACTATTTCCATGATTGGTGTACGTCCGTGACTGTCTATTGTACTATTAAGCGTGTAATAAAGATATCTACTCGGCACGAATCGGCCGGAGAATGAAATCCGTGGTATTAACGATGCTATCAATTTCAGCGAGATACTAATTTACAAACCCCCCTAGAGACTTCGCTGCGTGGAGTAAAATAAAATAAGAAGAGAATAAGAGACGTAGCGGCCAAATCGCGGCAAGGCTACCAAATAATGCGGGGAGGGGGATGTAGAAAAAGCCATATCAGATGAGTAAATGTGGGAAAACTTGTGAACCATGTCTTAACCCCGGACCCCCGAATCTTCTATCCCCCACACGCCAAAGCAAACCACCTAGATTCCGCTGGAGCCAGGAGCCTCCTGGTCTTTTCGGAGGTCGATCAACAATTCACGGAAACGCTCCTTTCCGGAGCCGCTGGCACCGCCCGCGGAGCCCTTGCCCGATACATCAACCAGCTTAGCAATGCGCTCCCAGCTGGTGCCTCCGGCGGAGGTGTCCTCCCGGTTGGCGAGGAACTGTTCGGCCTCGGCGCGGGCGTGGGAGCGGTTCTTATCGGCCTTATTGTTGTAGGAAACGTAGAAGTCGTCAATATCCTCCTGTGCCTTTTTGACAGTACTGTCCTTCTTCTCGGCGGAGACCTCGGCACGGCGGGCGATCTCAGCATCACGCTTTTCGCGCCATTCGCTGATAATTGAAAGACAGAAGTTAGCTTAGGGGATCCGGGCCTAGACGGGATGGATGCAGATCGCAAAGGCAATGCGCCCCATCATCCAGAGTTTGAGATTGGACTCACCGAACGGCATCTCCCTCATCTTCGGGTTCCTGTGCGCTCTGATATCCGGTACGGGGGAAGGGTGAGCCGGAGCCAGTGATTGTGCCGCCGGGAGCAACGCGCTGCATAGATGTAACCCCTGGTCAGCATACTGCACGTCCACCACCATGTATCCAATAGCCAATTCGTACCTCGTTCAGGTTCTGCGTCGCTACAGAGGGGAATGCTGATTCAAATTGGCCAATCTCCTCAACGGGCTCGTCACCTGCACCGAGCAGGTCATCATCCCCCGCGCCTACATTCCCGTCGGCAACGTGGTCTTGAGAAGTAGCGAATTGCTCGGCGTCTTCACCGAGCACGGCACGCTCGCGAGCAAGGAAATCGTCATCGGTGGTGGCTTGGATATCGGCTACTTCGGTTTGACCTAAATGCGGGTCATGTTAGCTCCGGTGTAAGGAGAGCAAGTAAGGCGGGTTGAGCATACCTTCAGAGAAGTCCTCTAGGGAAGGGAAACGGTCAGCCATGCTGGGAATGGATTGTATTTGACTATTGTATGACTCAATAAAGACGTTTGAATCAAGAAGATGGTCGTAAGGAGAAGAAATCAAAGGACCAGGAAGTAGATAGTTATAGGAAGTAGTGTTGACAGGTGTGGCCTGGGCGGGCTCGGAGCCCCGTTGTTCTGCCGGATCCGGGGCGGTAAGCTTATCCATGTCTCAAGCTTGGGGTACAAACCACTTGATGTCAACTTCACTTGTGATGAGGAAGGTTGAGAGTTAAGATTTTCGTTTGATATTCCTTTGACTTTATTTCGGTGGCTTTACTTGATTGCCACTCAACGCGGTTCCAAACCTCTCCAGTGGTCTTCAATTTCTACTCGTTGTCTATTTGTCTCTAACAGTGATTGCGACTTGCACTTCAGATCTGATAATTTCACTTCTCAAAAGCTTGCTGTTCAATAATCCAAGTGCTTACTATTTTTGTCATCATGGCTTTCACTGATGACGCCGTCAAAGCAAAGCTATCAGCTCTGAACGACACGCAGGAGAGCATCGTTACTGTTGCGCAATGGGTCATGTTCCACAGGTACACACACTTGTTCCAGCCTCAAAGAGACTTGCTAATTCTTTTATCTGTAACTCTAGACGCCATGCTGAACGGACTGGACAGATCTGGCTTCAAAAGATCCGCGACTCGCCGCCTCCCAAGCGACTCAACCTGATCTACCTAGCCAATGGTACAACATGTCCTCCACACATGAGCCGCGCTCCGCTTGCTAATTATATCTATAGAGGTGGCCCAGCAATCTAAAGTACGCGGGAAAAATGATTTCCTCATTGCGCTATCTCCGGTTCGTCTCCCCGCCAGTCCACGATCGCAACTCAAACTAACAGAACAATAGATCATCGTCGATGCTACGTCAGCTGCTTACAAGGGCTCCTCGAATGAATACCAGCAAAGGATCCGCCGAGTCGTGGAGGTCTGGAGACAACGCAATGTATTTGACGGGGTTATTTTGGATGCAGTGGAAGCTCGCATAGACGGTAGGTCGGATCAATAGGCACGAGGATGCACTATCTAAACTGATCATGTTGCAGAACTCGACAAAGCTCGTCCTACAAACAAGAAGCAAACCCTCGGAGGATCTTTCTTCAAGGACACTTCTTCGGGATCCACCCCGTCCGAACTGCAGCCTCTCAATCCGTTGCAGGTTGCTCTCAACAAGGCTGTCATCAACTCCCACAATTCCGCAACAACCGCTACTTCGGAATTCGACAAGCTTCATGACCCCAAAACCCCGAAGGCTACACTGCCCGTTCACGCTGCGCGTCTAAGTTCACTCTTGAAGGCACTCGCCAACGCAGAAAATTCTCTCTCTGAAGTAATCAAGTCGCGCCGCGCCTTGATCGATGGGCTCGAGAAGATCCTGCAGACCAATCGTGCAGAGCTATCGAAAGAAGAGGCCATTAGCGCCGAGCTTTCACAGAAGAAAGCCTCGGCCGATACCAAGAAGCGCGAGGTCGAAGATGCGATTATGCGCGGTCTGCCCAGTGAAGAGTCCTCCACAAACCCAGGTGAATACAACGGACACGATGACGCACCCGCCCGCCCAACAGTCGAAGCTTTGACACCTCCCCCGGTGGAGGCTATTACGCCAGTGGGGTCCCCACAACCAGGAAAGCAGCAGCTTCGCCGCGGCCCTTTTACCGAAGAGGCAGACGACGATGTCTCAGAATGGAGCCCCACGAACACCGCCAACATGCAGCAGTCAGGCAACGGGACTGCCGTCACCGACCAACCCACTACCATTTCTCCGAACCATGGCAATGACTTCGATGTCGCTGCCGATGTCCATGCAAAGAGGCGCAAGATCTCCCATGGCGAGGAGGACTATGCGGCTTTTGCAGCCGGCGATCTAGATTCCGATGTAGCTGATCTGCTTGCCACCCAGGGTAATCGGTAAGTGAGCTTGAAGCATTATGATGGAGGCCATATTTTACTCTGGTAATTTATGTGCATCGCGCCGTTTCGTGTGATTTATTCATTTCTTTTCCATTCAATCGGCTTATGTTCGATATCATTTATTTCGTGTATGAAGTAATCAAATGTATGAGTTGAAGCATGTAACATGGCATTGTTCTACAGACCTGTAGTCCAATGTTCGAATTCTCCCAGTGCAAGTAAGTGCCTTGCGTGAGATCCAGTGCCTACATATCCATCGCCTATTTACTCTAAAACTAAGTAACTACCGATATGCAAAGGAAATGTCTGCTCTTCTGGTCACATTAAATATGAACCAATGCTATTAAAAAAAGAAACATCATCGGAATATATCCGGATCCATCCATCGATCTCGCGCGAAGCGGTTCGACAACTGGTGTCTTCGCCCCCGGTAAGCCAACACGGAGCGGATATTGTTCGAAGATTCATCCTCTGGAGGCGGGGGCGGCGGGGAAGACTTCCCCTTTGGTTTCACAACCAGTACAATTATCATTCCCACGACGATCAACAGGAGTAATAGCATGACCTTACGCTTAGTGGTTCGTTGTTGATAACTCGTAGCCTATATGAGTCAGTTCCTCGCTCCGGGTGGAAAGTTGCTAGTAAAGAAGGAACATACCACTTTAAGCTCCTTGTCCGCAGCCTTAACCTCGGTACCCATTCGCTCGACGTTGTAATCTATACGGTCTAGCATGGTTCCTTGGTCGATAATCATGCTCTGCAGTTCACGGAAAATATCCGAGAGCTCAATAATCCCCTTTGCAATATCATTGATCTCGCGCTCCCGCTGTGCGATAGCAGCATCGTTCTGACCGGTCTGCCGTTGTGAAGTCTGCTGTAACATTGTCTGCGAAAAGGATCTGTCGGCATCTGACTCCATCATCGACGGATCCGTGTATGGGTTCTGGGTCTGCGTAGGCGTGCCATCGAACGGTGTCGCGATACCCTCGAGATCTCGCAATTCTGGACAGAAAAAAATCAGCACATTGAACCAACCGATTCTGCCTTCACCAGGAAGAGAGCAAGAACAAGAACAAGAACACAAAAAGAAAGAAGGGTCTCATACTCCGTAAATAAGTACTCTGCTTCTTCCTAAACCTAGCACTAGCCTCCTGCACCCTCGCAGCAAGTGAAATCTGAATATTCTTCGCCATAGTCTCTTCCCCACTCGTAACACCCCCGTGCGCCTTAGACTCGCCGACCATAGTCTCGATGCGCATGATAGCGCGCTGGCAATCATGGAAGGAGCGTGTGACATCCTGCGTCAAGCGCTCGATAACGCCCTCGTCCTGCTTGCGCAGGTCCTCGTCGCCAAAGCCGGGGAGCAGGTGTTTCTGGTGCAGCTTGTCCAGCTGGGCGGAGTTCTGGGCAATCTCGGCTAACTGCTCGGAGACCTCTTCCTGCACGTCGACCCAGCGCGGCGGTAGGAGGTCCATTTCAATGACCATGTCGCCATCTTCGTCTGTTTCGGATATTAGGCGCCTGTTTTCCTCCGGGTGCGAGGGTGTGTCGGAGAAGCCATTTGTTGGTGTGAAGTGTGGCTTTTTAGCTGGGTGGTGGATTAGGGATTGGCGGTAGGAGAGGTAGCTGGGTTTGGAGGTGGAGTGTTAGTTGCTGGTATGCTTTATAGGCTGGGTTTTATGGGTGGTGTTTCTTTTCTTTTTTTTTGGCTCTGTCCGGCGATGACGGGTTGCGCTTGGGTAGGGTAGGGTACATGGGGTTGCATACAGGTTGGTTCGATCCCGCCACATTGTGAGGGCGTTCGGAGGATCGGGTTATGTCAGTTTATTAATTTGGTGAGGTTATGGAATCATGATCAGCTGGGGGGGTGATAGACTGGGATCAAAGGGAGATTGGGGTCTCGATATAGCCGGAAGTGAATGATAGGAGCTCTCCACATGTCGGAAGGGGTCACGTATGCCCGGTATTCACCATGTAACCCTTGGTTTTGTCCACGTGGAGTTGGGGTAATTTTGGTATGGCTGGGTAAACTGTGAAGACAGCTTGACCTGGACATATTTGCTATTAAAAGACACTGAGGTCTTGAGTGTTATTGTGCCAATTACTGCAAATCGCTTTACTATGAGTCGCGTGCTCAATTGAGTGACATGGAAACCCCGGGTTTTGAGCCTAAATAGGTAGAAATAGGGCATAGTCGAAGGCTTATAGTTGAAGAACACATCGCTTTATTCAATTAATATAGGATGTCTTGCAGTGTTTACTTCTAGATCTATACATCCACCCCGCAGTTACACTCTATAAAGTAGAATAAACAGAAATCCCCAAACAAATAATAGCCAAGACCCCCCTAAGCAATTTGGCTCCATTCCACGTCTATTCGGTATAGTACTGTTAGCCCGCTCAACGTAGCCCTGGAACCCCGGGATCAAGCTTTCTGTCCGTTACATCCGCATGAGCATACAGGATGTAAGGAGATGATAAATAGTATTCCAACAGATATCTAGAGATATGAAATACGCCAAGAATATATATAAAAATGACCTGAACATGCATTCCAACTTCCAACTGTGGCAACATTCAGCCCCAGAGAGGGTCCCACCGCCCTAAGATGAAACGACGCTGACTGGGCACCTCAGGCACGCTATTTTGGTAACTCTTGTAAGGCTATTCCCCTTAACCCTCTTCTTCACTTGACCCCTCCTTACTTTGTTGTATTTTCCATCTACATTCATCATGGTATGTCCCTGATCCCCTAACTTCTCAGTTGTGTTGTCGAAAATTCAACCCCCACATTGCGGGGCATTTCATTTGAACTTCACTGACCATCGCATTCTCCAGGCTGATTCCCTCACCGAAGAGCAAGTGTCTGAGTACAAGGAGGCCTTCTCCCTGTTTGTGAGTGACTCAATATACAGATTGAAGACTTGATGGTGGAAAACATGCTGACCGGAGTTTGTTTGGTTGCGAAATAGGACAAGGATGGCGATGGTACGTGTGGTCGCGCCCGACAGCTCAGTGTCCTCTGCGATCGAATTTCAAGAGAAGAGTATTCTAACATACAATCCTACTAATAGGACAAATCACCACCAAGGAGCTTGGCACCGTCATGCGCTCGCTGGGCCAGAACCCCTCCGAGTCTGAGTTGCAGGATATGATCAACGAGGTTGACGCCGACAACAACGGCACTATTGACTTCCCCGGTATTTGATCATAACCTCTTGGTATAAACGAGAGACGGCTACTGACGTGCGGTAGAATTCCTCACTATGATGGCTCGTAAGATGAAGGACACCGATTCCGAGGAGGAGATTCGCGAGGCATTCAAGGTCTTCGATCGTGACAACAACGGGTTCATTTCCGCCGCCGAGCTTCGCCACGTCATGACCTCCATCGGCGAGAAGCTGACTGACGACGAGGTGGACGAGATGATCCGCGAGGCGGACCAGGATGGTGATGGCCGAATCGATTGTATGTTTGGAAACAATCTTGGAGCCTACCGGCACTTGCCTGCCCAAATGCTAACCTCTCCCTCTCCATACAGACAACGAGTTCGTTCAGCTCATGATGCAAAAATAAGCGACGAATTCCACCGTGCGCCTTTTTCCCTGTTAGCTGACGTCGCGGTTTTTAACGAGAGTGTTTCTCTTACATTTCAATTTTCCAATACCGATTTCCTGTAGTCTATGCTCACTAGGCTATACATCTTGGATGATTTACGATCAAGCGTGCGCTTTGAAATGCAGACGGAATGGACTGGCGGTACTTTGGGTCGAGTTTTCATAATATAGGAATGATGGCTCCATCCCTATGCCCTATAGTGCGAGACTTGTTTCAACCAGCCAATGTCCACAAAACACCGTAGCAAGCGTACAAGAAATAACCATCATACCAACCCCCACCATAAACATCCAGCTATCGATTAAATCTCAAAACCTCCATGAACTGCCTCGCAACATCTGCCCCAGACCACGGATTAGGATCTTCCTCGGCACGCTCGCCAATTACAGAGCCAGCCCCATCAACTCTACTATCAACCCTAGCGTCCATGCCAGACGACTCAGCCTTCTTCCACCTCCTCAGCCGATCCTTAACCTCCATCCCAACATTCGGAATAAGAATCGCCTCGCGAGCCTCAACACCCAATCTCCCCCAAAACTCCCGAATCAACGACGCAGTCGCCGCATACTCGGCATCGATGTCGGACTCCTCAATCGCAGAGCTATCGAGGTTGATCCCCGCAGCTTCAACGTCCACATCACCCTCACCCCCAGCATCAACACCAGCACCAAACGACCCATCCTCCCGATCCACGGGAATAGCCTCTACAACCGACGGACCACGCCACTCAATCTCAACAACAGTTCCACGCACTCGCGCCGTCGGGAACGTCTGCCGCACATCACCAAGACGCACGCGGAAGTCACCAACCTCGTAGACGATCCCGTTCGGGACAGCGAGGGTGAGCCGGTGGCTCCAGAATGGCTGACAAGCGTAGGTGAAGTGCTGAAAGAGGGTTCCATATGAGGAAGGGGGGACAGTTGTCATGATCATTGGTGGGGAGGCGGAGTGGTCTGGCGCGATGGCATTTACGGGGCCAGGCGCGCCTTGGGTTTGATTTTGATTTTGGTTTGGTGCTGGGATGGGCTTCTCGGGCTCCGAGGTGTAGATGAAGCCGTGAGTTGGGTAGTGGGTTAAGGAGAGGAATTGCATGTAGCGTGGGTTTGAGGGTTTCTTGTTTGAGTTTGAAGAGGGGAGTAGACCTGGGGTATCGCGTAGGAGCTTTTGTTCAAGGCCCCAGCGGCCGATTGGGGTTGGTTCTTCATTTGGGAAGGCGGCGCGCAGACGCTCTGTTATTATCTGCAGGGCTGTTGAGGCGTTTGGGTTTGAGGGGATGAAGTAGACGCTTTGTGGCGTTAGTTTTGCGTGTTTCTATTGGATATGAAGTAGATTTACCCTGTGATAGGCATTTTTTATGTTTGTTTTCTGGGCAGGTGCAGAGGAAGAGATGGGACTGATAGCCACAGCAGTGTTGAGCCGAGGGATATCAATTGAGGAATTGATGGGTTGAAAAGACGGCGGCGATAGGTTCCCAGATAGTCTTAAGTCTTGTCGGAGGATTGATTTAGGAATCTGTAGCAGGTAGCGACCATGCAATATAGATAGATATAAAGATCGATCAATAGCAATGATGATCAAGTCCAGTGCCAGAGGAATGCCAAAAGAGGATTCCTAAACAGGATGGGAGTTCAATCTATATATTGATTAGTATAAACACTAACAATAGGAATAAACTAATACCTTTGGACAATTTCTATGTATACGAGGTTGTTATGGAGAATCAAGTACGTTGCAGCCTTTAGATGAAAGCCTGCATGATATAACATTGGAGTGCAAACAAAGCAAACATTAACCTCCAGGGATGAACCGAATCCTTTTATTATTCTTTTTTTATTATGATATTGCAAGGTATTAGAAGCCTAATAATATACGTCTGCGCAGAACCTAGAGGATTTTCTGGAAGTAAAGTAATATTATGCATTCATTTTCCTGTCGTGTGACAGATTCAATTGGCAATGAAACAAAAAAAGGGGTATGGATAAGTATAGCGAATATCTCCAGGCTCCGCAAAGCAAACCGCCGCAATATTAAATCAGATCACTGGTGACATTCAAAAAATCCTGCGCGGTAAGGACAATGTCTCCCTCCCTTGTGCCGGTGATCTATCATACACTGTAATAAATGGGAAACTGTACCAGACATGCTACCAGTGGAAACCTCGACCTCGTGCACAGTACGCTTACTGCGATACTACTTACTGTTGGATTAGCCGTGGGATGCTCGGACTCTGTTAGTATAGGGTTTGAATGTATGCCCTCTCGAGGGGGCGTAGACTATTCGGTAGCGCTAGTTGCCATTTTTCAATGGAAACTCTTATCTTTTTTTCGACATAGAGATAATCAAGACGATTCGAACCTCACCGGAAGAGTTAGATAGCCACTATAGGGCATTTTATCTGAGCTGAGATAACGATTCAGAAAGCCCCATCTCAACGGTGAGTGTTGGTCAGCCGGGAGGGCGCACGGGGTTAGCGGGCGGCGAGATGGCGGAAGGAATCCCTGGTCAGCTTGTTTCCCCTTGTTCGCAGTCGGCTTGTATGTCGTGGTGGCTACCCACTTTCTGCTGGTTGTCGACACAAATCTCCGGTCTTATCTGGCGCGTTCTTGAAATTGCCTGGCGGGTACCATTGGAGATCCAAGTCATGTCCAAGCCACTGGACACGGTACTGAAGCTTCCGATAGTGCATTTTTCCATTTCTTCCTCGTCAAGAACCGAAGGTCAGCATATTATCCCTACAGATCCTACACGACATACCGCTCAATCTCATACCGGATCCACCAAGACACAAAAAGTACTATCCCTTAGAACCAGGGAGAAAGTCGCCATGCCGACTTTCAGAATGCCCTTCTCGTCTATAAGTCGAGATCCAGTACCCTGGTGAGCTCATCCGGGACCGAATTGTGCTCCAAGGGACTATCTTGATGAGCCCAGCATGTCCTTCCCATGTAAACCGATAATCCATCCCCTCCAAACAACTGTGGTCTTCATCGAGTTTCTGTAGATCTGATTGGAATAAGCCGATAATGACAAGCCACTGGTTTTCTGACTTGGCTCGACATGATTTGTCACAGGCGCGCAGCAACTCGAAATCAGGAAAGTGGTGGACGACGTATCAATCTGGAGGACTGCTTGGGATAGAAGATAAGGAATATATGGTACGAGCAACGGCTTCAGGAAGAGGAAGATCCGGGCCTGCAGAGCGATCAGTTTTTAGAGACGCTACTCTTGCAGGACTTGAGGAAAGTCGGTTGAAGCGCGAAGAAAAGGAAACGACAAATAGGGAAGGTATAAACTCTGGAGTGCTCCGCCTTTTGGGCCTTGAGTCTCATCCATTATGGGTAGTCAGAGTATGGTGAGAAGTGAGGGCAATTAACGAATTATCGCAACATAAACAAAGTACTCCGTTGGGTAACTATGGTGAGGGTTTAGGAGCACCTCACTGGTTGATCACGTGATGGCTAGTTATGAAGGAATAACTTATGTAATCTAATTTACGACCCCGGGCTACCTGCCCTAATTGAACTTTACTTGAACCTGACTCTGAGTGCCCTAAAAGTGGCGACAGCTGAGATAGGAAGCCCCAGTAGGCAGGGTACATATGTACCAAAGCACAGCTTTCAGACCCACAATGTGTTATCGTCCGATCTTCCAGTCTGAAAATCGTCAAGATCAACCCTTACCTAACTACTCTATCAGGGACAGTCAGGGGCTGCGGTGGGGTTGGTGGCGCTGAGACGTAAAACCCTCTTGGCGCTTTTCTCACCAGTCTAGACTTGACCATTGATAGTACTCTAATAATAACTCTACAGATTGGACCCTGCAGTCTTCCCTTGTTGCGTGGCCAGGTGTGAAGGGGGTGACATTCTCGAATTGCGCCAATGATCATTCGATGCTCTCCAAGATCATACCTCACATTAACTTCCAAAAGCCACCAGGGACGATCAATGGAGCTCCAAACCGTGTCTGATTCCCTAGAGACCTCTCACAATCCATGACGTGCCACATTTTGTGAAATATGTTTCCTCCTTTGTTTGCTCTAATTATCAGGATCTTGTTCACTCTGAGACATGCCGGCATTTGCTACTGGTCCCTACTTGACTTGACTTGTACATCATTCCACTCCTTCTCTAGGCTTCCTATGACTATTCCTTTGTTGTCTCTTGGGTTATTTTGAAATCTTTCTACTCCATTCATTTATTATGTACAACAAGCGCAAAAATCGACCTTTGTCAACAGCGTTGTTTCTGATTGTCGCGACATACGTTTTCCTCTTCTGGCTCCCTAGTACAAAAACATGCCGAGGTCGTCTAGCAAAGCCAATCTCCAGAAAAGACAGCACTATTCGGCATGATGCTATCCGTCTAGATAAAGTCACCGAGCGATTCCCTGTTACAGAGTACATACCGCTACCAACAAGTTCAGCGAAAATTCCCCGCATACAGCATGACTTCCCTGAAGAAACCCACGGCGAGCGCAAGGCCAGACTCAAGAAGCGGGATGCTGTGAAGGAGGCGTTTCTTCATTCATGGAATGGATATAAGGATTATGCATGGATGCGAGACGAGGTGAAACCTCGCACTGGAGGGTACCAGGATACCTTCAATGGATGGGGTGCCACGCTTGTTGATTCGCTAGATGCGCTGGTGATTATGGGACTGGACGATGAGCTCCAGCTGGCTCTGGAAGCTCTGGAGGAAATCGACTTTACAACGACCAAGAGCAGGCAGGTGCCTGTCTTTGAGATCATCATTCGCTATATGGGTGGCTTTATTGCTGCTCATGACCTGACCGAGGGCAAACATCCTATCCTGCTGAGAAAGGCCGTTGAACTGGGCGAGATGATCTTCAATGCGTTTGATACGCATAATCGCATGCCCCAAGTGCGTTGGGAATGGATAAGGTATGCCAAAATAGAAAATACTATGCAACGAGAATTTGTGACTGACAATATCTAGATCCGCCCAAGGCAAAGAAATTACACCATCATCACGCACAAGCTTAGCGGAAATGGGCTCCTTGACGATGGAGTTCACCCGCTTGACCCAATTGACCGGTGATCCCAAATACTACGATGCCGTGCAGCGAATCATGAACGAGCTCGAGATCGGACAAGACAAGACCCGGATGCCTGGCATGTGGCCGACATGGATTAACACCGACCTAATGACATTCGACGATTCCGAATTCACTATCGGCGGATGTGCCGATTCCGCCTACGAATACTTGCCCAAGGAACACATTCTCCTGGGTGGACAGACAGATAAATATCACCGAATGTACGAAAAGGCCATTGAAACATTCAATGAGAATCTGCTGTTCAGAGGAATGACCCAGGATGAGGACCAACACATTCTCTTTACGGCTAACGTCGTCGCACTACGGGGTGACTCGAAGACCTTCCAGTACGCGCCTGACCACCTCAAGTGCTTCATGGGCGGCACCGTGGCTATTGGAGCTAAGATTTTCAATCGGCCGGAGGATATGTATGTTGCTCGGGGACTTACCGACGGCTGCGTCTGGGCATATGATGTTATGCCTTCAGGAATTATGCCGGAGGTTTTCAGAGTCAGTCCTTGCCAGCACATTGATGAGTGTCCGTGGGATGAAGAGCAGTGGATGTCAGATGTCATATCGCACTCTATCGATACCGAGGAGGACCGCGAAAAAGCGGAGGTCCAGATCGAGGTTGAGCGTCTGCCACCCGGTGTGACTAGTGTTCGAGACGCATCGTATAAACTCAGGTATGAATTTATCCCATTCCTCCCAGTGCAGCCCACTAACATATGTCCCATCCAGACCTGAAGCTCTTGAGTCTCTATTCGTCATGTACCGGATTACTGGAGATAAGACTCTGCAAGACTCAGCGTGGCGCATGTTTAAGAATATCGACAAGGCGACCCGAACTAAATTTGGCCACTCGTCTATCAACGATGTGCGTCATTTGAAACCAAAACACGAGGACAAAATGGAGAGCTTTTGGCTTGCCGAAACTTTGAAGTACCTCTATCTCATCTTTTCTGAGCCAGATCATATCAGTCTGGATGACTATGTGCTGTATGTTTGCGGCCAACTGTGTTTATACCGTCTTCATGAGCTAACCCTTTTTTTTAGGAGCACTGAAGCCCATCCTTTCAAACGACCAACAACTTAAGCGTTATAATATTGAGACTTTGTGTACAACTTTCATCTAATATCCCACATCCACACATCCTACAAGAAGCCATAATATAGAAATAAAATTATACATAAGCAGTAACATCAACAGAATTAATCTTCAAATCCTCCCGCCTCCTCAACTCAGCCTCATCCTCATCCTCATATTGAATCGAATACCGAATCTCCTTATGAA